TGATTTAATACAACAGTTAAATAGACAAGAAGTTAATATTAAGTGACCTACATTGTCTGACTATAACACTATTGTCTGATTTTGCTCTATTTCGTCGTCGAAAATAGTTTAAAACAAACTCACAGCTCAGCCGCTGGCATCTCCATTCAAACGCATCTCCATTCAAACACAGCAGTGTTTCGTTTATGAATGAACTGCGTTTTTAAAAGAATCTAGTGAGTCAGTGATTCATGATTACCCATTCATAAATACAGTCACTTCATTCATTCCTGAATGAATCAGCCGTTCGAATGAATCAATTGAATGAATGATTCAATGATAAAATCAGTGACTTACTGCCACCTGCTGGCAGTTTGTTTCATTTTTAAAGTTGCTCCTAAAATTTTGAACGTGCTCCTAAATTTTTTAAGTTAAAGAAAAAGAAAAGTAAGCGTAGAGCCCTGTTAGTGCTTTGTACCTGTTTGACTGGAACTGAGCTGTTTGCTATGCAGTAACACATGCAAAGCAAAAACTCTCTGGTCATTAATAATGCATTTAGTACATCCTTCTTCTCCCCTTCTCCCTATTTTTCCTACTCTGTGATGTAACACGTTTCAAAGGGTTATGGAGTTTCAAAAGTTGTTGTAGGGTACACGTCTTCCATAAAAAAGCTTGTATTTCCAGGGTTTTGATTTTAACCCATTTTTCAGGGGTAGGTGAGCCAAAGTGATGGTTTCAGCCACATCTGTACAATGCTATCACAATTCACACCATTAAAGAGATCAATTTTCCTATAATCTGGGAGTCGTATGACCTCGCAAGGTCATGTAAGAATACTCTAGTCACTTGGATGCTTCAAACAATGATTTTCACCATGAACACATGAGACTACCATGCACAAATGTCTAAAAACAGCTGTAAAACAAAAATCTAAACACTGCTCATTTACATTAAACAGCTCTTCTTTTCCCCTCAAGCACATGTTTACATCCACATGACATTTAAGTGAGGGGGAGATGGGCGAGAAATTGCTCATTTCTCTGCAGTACGATAAATAACACCATAATAATGCATATGCATTACATAACTCACAGCCGCTGACACGGATTGAAACGGAACCATATGCATCAAATCTGTTTTACATGACTGAAACTGATCGAAATGGTCGGATATTAGCAAATAAAAACATAAAATGACAACGGCGATTCAGCACCGCATCGGAATGACAGATCTCACGCCAAAATAATGCAATAATAGTAACCGTGCTAACAATGAGCAGAATGTTCATCTCTATCTGATTCCGCAAATAAATCCAGCTGGAAATTTCTTAAATGTGTTTTATTTGGATCGGTCTTATGCGCGCGCTGATCCAGCTGAAGGCGCGAACCGCTCTTAACGGTCGCCGCTGTAACTATAGCAACATTATCTGTCAATCAGCAGCACACCTCAGTAATAACCAGTCGCACCTCTGCTGTACTCGAAATAACGCTAGTCAGTGATATTTACCTTCACAATTCTGACCGGCCGGCTTACGTGTTAGGTAAGTGTTTACCTGAGGCGAAGAAAAGGCGCTGTCCTTTATCCCCGTTCGGTGGGTTTTCAGTGGAATAATACTGTTTTTTAGTCGACGCTGTGCTCTTTCGTAGGCGAGCGTCACAGCTCTCTGATGTTCAAATCACGATTCCTTTTCTGCTGTGGGTGATTGTGGTTGTAAAAGATCTGGAAACTGGTTGTAAATTCAAACCTCAGCAGGGTTAATCTATGGACTACCACTGAGCCCTTGATCAAGACATTTAACCTTTGGAAACTCCACAAAGGAACCACTACAAAACCTTGCCCATACATCTATCAAAAGAAAATTATATTTTGCATAATGAAAATGAAGCCTCTATTCATTCAGAACTCATTCGTGTTTGCATTATGAAATAACTGTCATGTCAACTAAAGGAATAGTTCAAACAAAAATGAAAACTTGAGAACAGATTTGTATAAATGTATCATTATACATAATAGTGGATCCTCTGCAGTGAATCAGAATGAGAGTCCAAACAGCTGATAAAACATTACAATAATCCAATGTAAGTAATCCAAAAGCTACATGTTTGTAATAAACAAATCCATCATTAAGACATTTTTCATCTTTAAACTGTTGCTTCCGGCTAAAATAGAGTAGGAGTCCTCTGTTCATGATATTGCTTTCTCCAGTGAAAAAGTCATATTGTCTGAGTCAGGAGAGAAATATGCACAGATCAAACACCATTTACAAGTGAAAACAGTTCCGAACAAATATGTCTGTGACTTTTTGACTTTTTTTTTTTTTTTACTGGAGGAAGTGTTGCTTGAACTATGGATTCATATTTTGACCAGAAGCGAAGGTTAAAACATAATAGATTTGTTTCTTACAAGCACACTGATTTTCACTTTAACATGTTAAATGATGGACTGGATTAGTGTGGATTACTGGATGTTTATCAGCTGTTTGAACTCTCGGTTTGACGGCACCAGTTCACCGTTCATAAACACATCTACGTCTTGGAAGGGCCAAAAATGTAAAGCTTCAAATAGTTCCAGAAATAACACTGTAAAAGTTTTCATAAGAATAAAATGGTTTAATCCAAGCCTTCTGAAGAGATACACTTTATATGAGGATTTAATTTAATATTTTATTCATAAATACATTGATCAGTGCACATCCATACCATCCAGCTCAAGTTTTATGGGTTTGGATTAACATGACAATGAGTAAATGATGACAGAATTAAAATTTTGTGGTAAACTCTCCCTTTGAAGGAATATTCTGCATTCAGTACAAGTTAAGCTCTTTGTAGCATTATATTAATTACCACAAAAATAACTTTAGTGTGTTTAGTGTAGCTTTACTTTTGACACAATGAGTAATGTTTTGGCCAAACTGGCCCCATTCACTTCCAGTGTGTCTCACTGTAACCACAATTTATTTATTTATTTTTAAATTAAAAAAGATGGACAAGTGTAAATGAATTTTGTGCTATATTAGCCACTGTCTCAGCTGCAGATATACAGTCACTCTGCAGATTAGCTGAACGAGCCGCCTGCCTGTGTGCCAACCTCAATAACACAACAACTGCAGCAGAGCATCCTGAGCCTCTGCCAAAAATATAAATTAAGCACCATCTCTCTCTGTTTCCACACACATCTGGAAAGAAAATGTTCTGCTAGTATGAAATTCCCACCATTCCTAAATTATTTAGGCATTACATTTAATTGCTCCAACGTAAAAATTTAGAGACATAACATGAACCTTTCAATAAAAATGTCACAATAAATTCTAATACAAAATCAAAAAGTAAAACATTACTCTAATAATAAAAATTTTCCTGATTAGAATTGTTGTTTCTTAACATATTTTCTAAAAATACACTATAGATGCAGAATGAAATATAGACAGTAATGATTAGAATTCCTGCTAATTCGTCTTTATCTAATGTAAACTTCAAAATTGCCAGTACAAAAACAAATTTCTGATTTGATTATTTAGGTGAAAAGATTAGTAAAACAATTAACATCAATAAATATTTATTTTAAATCTCATTTGCAACTATTAATTTAACTACCATTATTTTAACATATGTTAAGGTTACTTTTTTTATTTACAACAACAAAGAACAAAGAAAAGACAGATTCGTAGTATTTTCATAGTGAGCGTATTATATAATTGGGTATTACAGGGTCATGAGAGCACTTTTACCTCAGACATGTAACTCTATTAATACTTATGTATTAATCACATTAAATGTACATTTGCCTTTTATTGTTGCCATATAAAGTGACTTTAAAAATCAATAATCCACAGAATATATATAAAAATATAATTTCTTTATTGGAAAATAAAAGTGCATCAGAAAAGAACTCGCTGGTGTCATTGCCAGGTGATTACAGTGAACACAGAGTAATACAGTACACATACAAAACTACATTTAAGAGTTAAACTACAGCTACATAAATTAGTACAATCTGTACACAGTCTTCTTACAGTATTTACACAAGGTGTATTCGTCATTGTTCAATTCCTTTCCATTCATTTCCTATTAAATAAACAGTAAACAACATAGGCAGTATCTCATTATCTGAGCCTGATTTGCTGGAGTGTTTTCTTCCCAAAATACTTTGGAACTCATTAGTGATTTTCATACTTGACAGATTGGGTTCAATTAGATATAAAATTATTAAGGTCAGTTGTTAAATATTATTCCTTGTTGTAAGGTAAAAAATAATCGTAAATAATGATAACCCAATTGACAAATTAAACGAAACAATACATATCAAGTGTAGGATTACATTATTGTCATTTCAGTCTATTCCTGTATTGAGGAAAACGTTCTTGAAATTAACTCATTATATGAATTATTTAATTAAGTACTTCATGTCCACAATGTCTTAAAGGAATAGTTTACCCAAAAATAACCTAAGTAATAAATAAAATAAAAAAATCATCAATATATGTAATTGCTTAACCTCAGACTACTCCAAAATCATGCCAAAAGGAGAATTTTTAAAGAATCTTCATGCAGCTTTTTTGTACAATGACAGTGTTTAGTGACCAAATTGTTATCGTTTTAAATTTTAGTCTGTTCCTTATAACAAATTATAGCATGGATTCAGAATCTGGAATACAGTGAAACACTGGTATGGACTATAGCAGTGGTTCCCAACCCTGGTCCTGGAGGCACCCCAACACTGCACATTTTGCATGTCTCCTTTCTCTGACACACCAATTTCAGGTCTTGGAGTCTCTACTAATGAGCTGATGATCTGAATCAGGTGTGTTTGATTAAGGAGACATGCAAAACATGCAGTTGGGGTGCCTCCAGGACCAGGTTTGGGAACCACTGCTCTAAACATCCCATAAGGAAACCATTCAGACAGCAGCAGCATTAATATTTAATTTATTTTCTATATACACATTTAGATGCTCGTGACAATATCTAGTTTGTCCAATGAATGTTTTCTCTAGTATTAAGACATGAAATATCTTTTACAGCTTGCTCACATGACGTGAGAATTTCAGGGTCCAGTAAAACACGGAGCTGCCTCATGTGCACATGTGCTTGATCATCAGTGTGTGTGTGTGTGTGTTATACCAGACAGCTCCTCACATGTCATTATTATAGTCCCCGATCATTCTCCGTGAGTTTGAGGCGAGGAAGATATCGTTCTCACGGGGGCAGTCATGATGACAGGAGCAGGTCTTAATGAACATCATCTTCTTCCTGAAGGAGTCTCCCTCAGGACAGCGGAACTCCACTTCGGCCGTGACGGTGGCGTGAGGCGTACAGCAGCGGCCATCCGTACACACCCCGCAGAACTTCGGCTTATACAGCCTGACGCTCTGGCATCCGGACAGTTCAAAACGCATCCCGCGCTGGCTCTTTGGGGTCCGCACGCACTTCTTCCCTCTCTATAAAGAGGAAGAGGTGGGCTATTAATATTTGAGATGTTTTTTTATGGGTTTAATGAAAAAAAAAGGCCAAAAACAAACTCAACACCACTTTCAACTAAAAATGGAAAACATGTTATATGTTTTGGCTGTTCCTTTACATGACAATGCCGTTTTGGTGGTCTAAAAATGCAAACTTTTGAAAACTGGTTTTAAAGTGCAAGTTTTTAAAAACGATATCATTATCGTCTCAATGTAAACTACAAAAATGTGTATTTGTGAAAATGGTGACTCTCGCCAACTACTGCAGGACAGTGGCCCTACAGAAACAGGATTGGACAACCCTGATCTAGTGGCTCTTTCTTTTCAAGATCTCAAATCACTTGCATATATGCTGTTGTCTGTGCAGGCTGCATGCAGATGGTGTGTTAGGATATCAGTGGACTGTGCTGATGATGAAAATTTACATCACGCAAACTCTCTGTGAGTCGGTACAAACACGGACATGGGAGGTAAACCTTCGGCTTTACTTTCAAAAGTCTGTGCCATTAAATAGCTATAAACATGGTGACAGTTTAACTAGCATGATTAACTAATTGGTTTAGTTTAGAGTTGGGAACTACAACTCAGACTGCAGTTTTAAATTAACTTGGACTTGGACAGACTAGGGTAGACTCGGACTTGGACTTGAAATTTTTTAAACAAATCCATGTCATGTGTAACATGAAAGATAATAATAAAAAAATAATAAGTAACAAAATAAAATTAAGATAAAAAGACATTAATAAACATCTCCCACTCAAACTCAACTGGTTAAAAATTAGGACTTGACTGAATTTAATTCAGTTAAAACAAGTGAACAAAGTAGTACAATGTGACCATGAGTTACCTAAAACGATGGAATAAATCAACAAATTCTTAATTCGTGGCCACAATTTCTTTCTTTTTTTTCACATGCCATCTTCAGGGCTCTGTAGTTTCTTGCCTTAAGGCCAGGATATATTTAATTTTCCATGTTCCATAACCCACAATTGAGTGTGCTAGCCTTTTTAGAAGTGTACTCTATTGATTTGGGAATGCGGACTGACGCATTGGGTGTACGCACACTACATAGAGGACCTTTTGTTTTTGAGTGCTCAAATTATCAGAGCTCAAGATGAAATTTACGTCACACAGTCGGTTAGCGAGCCAGAGCAGAACAAGGCCAGTATATGTTTGGTTTAACTTAGTGCTCTCTTACCTTGATGTCCTTTTCCAGCTCTGCATTGCAGGGGCGGATCATGCACATGCGGGTCTGCCGTTCCAGCTGGCATTGCTCATTGTCGTTGGTTACACGAGAGGACATCCCCATGCCACAGGTTGCAGAGCATTCACTCCAGTCAGTGGTCTGTACGATGCAGTTGTCCCTTGCGCTCTCAGGCTGGACATCCGGACCAGACAGTTCTCTATATGCTGAAAGAAGAGGAAGTGCATGTTAAATTCATGCACCAATGACAACTATATGGTCTTGGTCCAGGACCATATTTCAGCATATTTAATTTATAGGTGGTCCCCTTTTCTCTTAGGTCCAATGAGAGTGCTTTTGGAAGATTGGGAGATTTCAAAAAGGCCAGCTGTTTCAACATAGTGAAGCAAAATGAAAGAAAAGTTGACTTGCCGATTGACCTACCAGCCATTGCTGACTGGAAGGTGTCTTTCTGTGGGATCTGGTCGCACACCCACTCCTCACAGCACTTGCCGGGGATCTGGATGCGTCTTGGGTAGGGACAGTCTGGAGAGGGCAGCCGTATGTTGCTGGCACAGGTTGGTACGCAGCCGATCTCCCCATTCATGCAGACACAGTGATGTTTGCAGCTGGGCTGAAACGTCTCACCACTGCGGTAAATCACACCACCCAGGTCGCACGTCTGACCCTCTTGAGCTGCAACACGTGCAACAGCCATAAGACAACACTAAGAGGCTCCCACTTGTGAACAAAATGTGTAGTGGAATACATGCATAAACATTTGAATTCTCTCCTCTTTACCTAACAATTACTTTCCAAAATGCAACATTACACTCACCCATGCAGATGCCTGTCTCAGTGTCACTCAGCACACCATAGTCACAATACAGGTCCTTATGATGGTCACATGGCTCCAGGAATGAGCAGGGCTCTCCTGCCTGTCGGGCACACACCTTACAGCAGCTGCAGCTGTCCAGCACTAGACTGGTGCCTACAGGACATAAAGGGCTCTCAGCCGGGCAGTCACAAGGCTGAGAGCAGTCCTGACACAGCGCCTGCATAGAACATGACATGTTAGGGTTGCAACAGAAGCTTTCTCTCATTAATCTGTGGTAATAATAATTTTATCAACTCCCAAGATTATTCTAAAATGTCTCTGTCTGGGACAAATTAATTGCTATGATCAGACAGTCCATATGCAATATTCTTGATGGCCACAAGGGGGAGATAATATGCATTACAGTTGTAACTTGGATAGTGATGTTTTGGAAATACGCTAGCATAATTTCAGCACATAAAACATGTTTGAAATAATGAAAGGTGTAGAAAAATATGAAAGGTTTAAAAAGTGTGCCTGCTACAGTGAAAAATGGCGTAGAAACAATTTTCACTCAGAAATTGCTAGTAAATTTCACAAGTAGTAACAGTGAATTAAACATATTTAGTAGTAGAAGTAGAAAAACTAAAGTAGTATTTTCTTGTAAAACGTACTCCAGTAATCTTTGTTTTATTTCTAACTTAGAAAAATCATTTTTACAGTGTACACAGAAAATATAAAAGTAAAAAATTATGATAAATTAGACATATTTATTAAATACAACTTTTATATTATACATAAATATTTGGTTTATATAATAAAATTATGTAAAATACATTCATTCAGATGGTAGACTGGAGTCTTGGCACTGTTCTCAGCATCACAAAATTACATGCAAGCACAAACCAGTATAGTGACTTATACAATCTTCACATTAAACGTTATTATGGGAAACGTTATTAGAATGCACTTAATTAAAGCTAATTAGACCAATTACCTAAAACTACACTTGTGACTAACCGCCTCACTCTGCAAACAGTAGCACACAGATTAATTACTATGTATGTTATGTCATTTCAAATGATAGTAAAATAATACATCATTAATCTACATAATCAAATCAACTAATTTATGTAAATTCTGCACAGTGCTAATAGCAATAGAGCTTCATTTACTTTGAATATATCATTGTTGTGTTCCCTCACCGTATGTATAAGCAAGCAGAGAACGATGCATGATCTGGTGATTACTGTTCCAGCCATTCCAGCCAAGCGCACACTCCACGGGTTTGTTTTGGTTCTCTGGTGTCTGTGATCGCTGTCAGACTGCAGGATTGGAGTGGAGTGGAGAGCAGAGAGCCCCTCTTTAAATACTGCCAGAATGGGGTGTAGCCCACCGGAGTCAAGCTATGCCACGCGACCCAGAGGGGTGAAAATATTTCAATTCCAGATGGTTTTCCATAATGTTTGAAAATGCAAGAGATGCTGTCGACCAGCCTTTCAATTAATCATACTACAGATTCCAGAGCGTGCACATGGGGGGGGGGAAAGTCTGGTTTCTGCACATGGTTTGACTCCTGTTGTTGTCCAGTCAATCGGGACGGTTCAGGATGCTTTGGCAAATGATAGATTAGAATGTTCATCAAATATTGTTGAAATGCAACAATGTTTAGATGTCATACAACTATGCACGCGCGCTTCATGTTTGGACTGGCATTGCATTTAACAGCAAAAACAAAACTGACATACACAGACTGTTTTGATACAAAATTATTTTCCACCACATGATGTCATGCTAGACAGGCCTGCAGGGCAGAGGATATGACACGGCCCGCAATTAAATTTTTTTTTAGACTAAATTACAAAGAGGACAGCGTGAAGTTGAGTTTATTGGAAATCCAAAACAAGCTCATGAAATCCGTCTGTGTCAGGTACAGAGAAAGAAACATGGTAGATGAAATGAATTTGTTTATTTTTTTCCTCCTTGCAGCTATTTCCTGAAGCATGTCAATCTCTTGAGGTTCTGTATGAGAGAAAAGAGACAAAATGTACTCAACAACAGTAAGCAGTTCAGACTTAACCACATTACTGCAGGTGGTTGTCATTGCTATTTAGTTGCTAAAATGTTCTAAGTTGTTTCCAGGGTGTTTCTGGGTGGTTATTTACTAGACCACTCCCAAGTTCTGTGATATTCTTTTGTTATTGTGGTCCCTCCACATCATTCCAAACCATCATTTCTCTCTTCAGTAAGAAACAAAATAAGATACAGTATATTGAATAAATAAATACAACTAATTGTCACAGCCGGTACTTGAACCCAGAGTGTGTTGCTGGAAGACTAGAGTGCTAACCACTACACTATGGAGCAGTGTGGACCCCATTTTGCAGATAATCACAAGAGGCAGGATTTGAGGAAAACAGTCTTTACTTTAAGTCCTTCTTAAGCACAAAAGAATCAAGCATCAAAAGCTGGGCTGAAGAAGGTACAGATCCACAATGACTTGCAGGCAAAAGCATAAAGAATAGTTCCCAAACATGCAGGTCAGAAAGATCTGTGTAAAAGTCTTTCTAAGTAATCCAAACATGGGTCTTACGAGAACATGCATTCACCATAGATCTGCCTAATCAGAAGAACGTCAAGACTGAACAAAAATACAAACAAATGCAGGTCTTATATACACACACACACACTAACAAACCAGGCACAGGTGATATCATTGAGCTAATAATGAACAGGAAATCAGGAGGACGTTGTGGAAGGTCTTGCACTCTCTATTTCCCTCTGCTGGACAGACCGTGGGGTGACAGGGCCCCCCTTTACGGCCAGCTCCAGACGGCCCAGGACGGTCAGGATGCAGGCGATGGCATGTTTGAATCAGGTCTGGGTCCAAGATGTGTCGTGCTGGCACCCAAGTATGCTCCTCAGGCCCATATTCCTCCCAGTTGACCAAGTAGTGAAAACTATGGCCATGCCATCTTGAATGTAACAATCTCCTCACTGTATATGTGGTGAGGGAAAACGAGAGCTGGAGAAGACAAAGGAGAGGTTATTACAGGTTTTAGTTGAGAAAGATGAAAAGTAGGTCTTACTCTCATAGATCTAGGTAAAACAAACGGGTATGTAACAGGGTTGACCCGTCTGGTGGTTTTAAATGGGCCAACAAATCTTGGGGCAATTTTTTTGGATTCAACTCTTAAAGGCAAGTCCTTAGCTGAGATCCAGACCCTTTGTCCTATTCTGAAGAGTGGGGTCACCATCCTTCTCTTGTCAGCTTGCTTCTTGTAATGAGTTGAAGCACGTCTCAAGGCCAAGTGAGCCCTTTTCCATGACCCTCTGCACCGTTCAATGAACCTTTCAGCACTAGGGAACCCTTCCTCTTATTTCTGACTGAAGAACAGAGGTGGCTCAAACCCAAATTGACACTTGAATGGGGATAAACCAATGGAGCTGTGAAAGGTGTTGTATGCCAGCTCTGCCCAAACCAGGAACCGACTCCAGGAGGATGGCTGATGGGATGTGAAGCAGCAAAGGTATTTCTCCAGTTCCTGATTTACCCATTCTGTTTGGCCATTTGACTGAGGGTGCAAACCTGAAGAGAAACTTAAAGAAGAGCCAAACAGAGACCAAAATGCCTTCCAATAGTCAGACATGAACTGAGGACCCCGATCAGTAACAATATCCGCTGGAATTCCATGGATCCTTACAACATTTTGAAGAACAATCTCAGCAGTTTCTTTAGCAGAAGGAAGTTTAGGTAAAGAAATGAAATGTGCAGCTTTAGAAAAGCGGTCCACCACCACAAAACAACAGTGTTACCTTCAGATACTGGCAAGCCAGTAACAAAATCCATGGATATTTGAGACCAGGGACACTGTGGGATGGGCAGGGGGTGTAGGAGACCAGCAGGACACTGATTAGAAGACTTCTGTTGAGCACAGACTATGCAGGCCTGCACAAAAGATCCAACCTTTCTTGACATCTCTGGCCACCAAAACCATCTCTTAATAAAATCCAAAGTCCTCTTTACCCCTGAATGTCCAGCAAGAGGAGAGGTGTGGCCCCATTTAAGGACCTCAGATCTTGCTTCCTTGGGAACAAACATGCATCCTGTTGGAACCTCATCTGGAATGCATGTGCCACGTTGTGCTTCACGCACATTATCTTCAATGGACCGGCAAATAGGTGCCAGAATGCGGTCTCTGGGAATGATGAGTTCTGGGGAACGGTTCTTTTGGGAACAATCATACTGGTGTGACATGGCGTCGGCCTTAACATTCTTTGATCCAGGTGTGTAAGAAATCACAAAATTAAAACGGGTAAAAAAGGGCCCACCTAGCCTGCCGAGGGTTAAGGCACTTTGCCTGCTGTAGACAGGACAAGTTCTTGTGGTCTGTCCACACAGTGAAAGGATGCTTGGACCCCTCCAGCCAGTGGCGCCACTCTTCTAGTGCAAGTTTTACAGCTAGAAGTTCTCAGTTACCCACATCATAATTTCTTTCAACTTAAGACATGATTCTGGAAAAGAATGAGCACAGATTAACTTTTTTATCAATGACTGATCTCTGAGAGAGAACTGCTCCTACTCCCACTTCAGGTGCATCCACCTCAACAATAAAAGTTAATTCAGGGTCTGAGTGTACTAAGATTGGGCCAGAAGACTTCAAAGCTTCAGGAGTCCAGCGAATATGAGTGGGTGAACCCTTAGTATGAGCAGAAATGGGTGCTGCAATTGTGATTAAACCTCCTATAGAAATTGGCAAAGCCAAGAAATCTCTGTACCTGCTTCAGTGTTATGGGCTGGGGCCAGTTGGTGATGGCAGATGCCTTCCTTGGTTCCATCTGGATGCTTTCATGAGAGACAACACATGGACACATGGAACTCGTACTTTTCTAGATTTATGAAAAGATGATTTTCAAGTAGCTTTTTCAGAAACTGTTGGACATAGTGAATGTGTTCCTGTAGATAGTTTGAGAAGATTAGTATATCATCTTGATCAGTGATGGGCAAACTTGGCCCTTCCAGGCCACTTTCCTGCAGAGATTTGATCCAACCCTGATAAAACTCACCTGCCTGTAGCTTTCTAGTAGTCTTGAAGACAGTGATTAGCTGGTTCAGGTGTGTTTGATTAGAGTTGGAGCTAAACTCTGAAGGAAAGTGACCTGGAAGGGCCAAGTTTGCCCACCCCTGATCTAGATAGACAAACAGAAAATTATTCAAAATCTCTCGCATGACATCATTAATGAAGGCCTGAAACACTGCTGGGGCATTAGCTAACCCAAAGGGCAGATGACATAAGCAGAAGAGGGTAGTGATTCTTGATAGTTATTTTATTGAGCCCACGATAGTCTATGCAAGGCCTACGGTTACCATCTTTTTCAGTGACAAAAAAACAGTATTAGCTGGTGAAGCTGAGGGGCAAATGAAGCCAAACTTTAAAGCATCCTGAATATATTAATTCATGGTCTTACTTTCAGGGGCAGAGAGGGAATATAGATGATCTCTAGGAGGGAGTGTTCCAGGGAGAAGGTCAATAGCACATTTGTATGGTCTATGAGGCAGTAACTTGGTAGCATTTTGTTTGTTAAATACTCTCAAATCATAGTATTTACGGGGTATAGGTGTCAAATATAGTTGGCTATTCAAGGAACAAGCACTCACCTCCAACTGCTACCTGAATTTATTTACTCCCAGCCACGAAGGAAGCAGGAGGGGTGCAGGAGTCCTTAAACGCAGAACCCCAAAAAAGAAGAGTTCCCGAAGCCCAAGAAAATTGAGGGTTGTGAAGCCGCAACCAGGGGTAACCCAGGATCAGGGGTTCTTTAGAAGACTCAAAAAGATAAAAGGATCTTGTTTCATGATGGTTAGCTTCAATGGTTAAACAAAGAGGAACTGTTCTAAACTTGATCATTCCAGACCCAAGAGCTCTGCAACCAGGGGCTTCAACTTTCCAGGATGAAGGACAAGTCTCATAGAGGATACACAACTTCTTTGCCAGTTCAATGTCCAAATAATTGTCAGCTGCATCTGAATCCACAAATGCTTTCAATGTAATCATCTTTTCCTTATATCCCCCCAAGTAAGGGGAGCTGACAAAAGTAAACGGGAGTGAGGAGTGTCAAACTGGGCAGACCCACTCACTAGGGCCCCCTCACCCCCTAGTGAGCCACAGTATTAACAATGACCTTCTCTTATGCATCTCTCTCTTTCCTTAGGTGACTGGCGAGTCCTTCCCAGTTGCATTGGACATAGGTCTAGTATCCTTCTTGCTGCCTCACGGCCACTGACTGGATGGTCAAACACCTGCTGAAGAGTGTCTGTGAACA